GGGCCGCTGGCCAAAATATGGCTGGCTGCCCACTGGGAGAAGAAGCTCACCAAAGCTCATGTATTTGAGTGCAATTTAGAGACTACGGTTGAAAAGCTCATCTCGCCAAAGGTAGGCTGCGACGCGATGGTAAATTCTGGGGGAGAGGGGCACATCTTCTGCGGGGAACGGGGCTGTTGCTGTGGTGGGGGCTGGCTTAGTGGGACAAGTTTGTGGCTGTTTTGAAACTGGTGTGAGGTAAACTCCGACTCTGATTTAATTAAATTCTCACTCGGATAACATCTCCATCCTGTTATACAACAGTTAATATAAATACATTACTTGCTGTTTTTCTCCCGGAGACCTGTGGCAGACATTGATGTCCAGCGTAAGGAAACGTTACCACCGTATACTCAAACGCATTTCTCCGCGCGCTGGCAGAGCTCCGGGGAGCGTCTGTGGGCACCGACGGCCGAGGGATCGGGGCACGTGGGTCTGAGTGGCTCACGAGGCAGCACGAGCCCAGCAGTGTGGTGCGGAGTGGTCGTACGGGGCGTTCTTTGGAGGCTTTGGGTACCAGCTGCGGGTATTGCTCACCAGAATTCAGGAAATGCTGGCGTTGGAGGGAATTGTCTCCAAAAGACTGGAAAATCGGCTTAACCAAAGTCAAGGGACTGAAAAACTGCTGTGAAATTGTACACAGATCATTGGAGGAGAATACTTTTGCTGATCTTGTAATAAATAACTTCTGACGTATTGTAACCATCCTTCCACTTCCAGTGGACTTCTTCCAGGTCTCCCATTATACACAGTTAAATATATAATTAAGCGCACGCAGTGCTTGTGAGAGACTGTGTGAGCAGTCCCGGAGGCTGAAGTCCTCTGCGTGCCACAGCAAGCACAGATGCAGGCAGTGAAGGACCGGTGACTCAGTCCTTGGCCTCGCCGTCGCGACTGCATCCAAAGGAACAGGGAGGAACTAATCGATGGCTCACGAGAGCTTTCAGCTGGCGCAAGCAGATTTTTTAATTTTCTCCATGAAAATACCTGCTTGGTATTTGGTAGCTCGAATTTCATTGTCTGTCTTGCGTGCGTTATGATTAACAATGTTATTAAAATGATCTTGTTGTTATTTGGAAGTGTTTTCCAAGAGGTACTAGCTAAGTACCCTCTCCTTTCCCTTGCACGCTGTCCTGTCTAGCATCAGCATGACCACGTCGAGCGCGCTTGGTGCGGGAAGACTTTGCATGAAAAAGGCATAGTTATTTGCATAAATAAGGGTGTTGGTATGGTGTCTGCTCACTTGAATAACCAAAGTGTCAAACACTAGGACGCGCGCAGCTACGCTCTCTTTCAGGGTGTGTTACACTGTTCGTTGGCCGTCAGCGGAGATGTTCCAGGTGAAGTGGTAAGAGCCTCAGTTCAGGACTCGCACTTCGGCATGGCAGCTTTTAGGAACAGGAGCAACTTGAAGTTCCTGGCTCTGAAAATTCATTTCAGTTTACGACCCTTTATATCAGTACAAAGCCCTGCGGAATTTCGTAGAGCTCTGTACTGGTGTACGTTACTGGAACTCTGTCACTGCTGTGTAATATTTTCGTTTTACTGTTTTTGCCAAAAATAGTAACTCCTGAACAACTTTTTTAAATAATCGAAGTTTACAGTAGCTCTGCGAACCTCTGGACACTTACTGCTCGGAGTTGTGAGGATTTACCACAGGAAAGCAAAGTACCTCTTGGCAGACTGTAGTGAAGCGTTGACAAAAATGAAGACGGCCTTTCGCCCAGGTATCTACGGATTTCTGCATTTTTCCATCTGTGTCCTTCATGGCTCTTGTTTGAAAAGTTGTTAATTTTGGTTATTTCTGTTAAATACATGTTACTGATCCCAGAGGAAATCGAACATACCAGTGCCTACTGCTGGCGTTTAGTGTGGCTTAACAGAGTGCCATTTCAGGTCTTGAGAAGCAGCAGTATCTGAAGTGATCTTACGAGAAGAAGCCTGCATTTGGCCTCTGTTGCTAGATAATTAATTTTAATTTCTGGTGGCACCAACAACATGTCTAACAGAGTGTCAGTGCCAGATCTGACAGTGTGTTTTGAGCTCTAGCCATGCGGGCAGCGAGCAGGGAGCAGAGATGTCTGGCTCCTTTTCCAACGGGCTGTGCGTTTGTCGCGCTCGGGCACCGAGCGGGGAGACATTGTTGTCTAAAAAAAGGCTGAGGCCAGGGCACCAGAGTCTATTGGAGCTTTAACGTGCTTGGTGACCTGGTCTGTTTGCAGAGTAGCCAATACCTACGCTACATTATTCTGAAGGATACGAACATGATTAGCTAGTTAATGTTTGTAAATATTTGGAAAACTCAGAAGAAACACTTCAGATAAGTACAGAGTACTTTCTATTTTGAATAGATACTACAGTAGCTTCTAGGGGACTGCACAGCACAAGAACAACAGTCACAGCTGTGGCAAGGCAGACTCCAACTAGATGTAAGGCGGGGTAAAAAATCTCAGTGGAAATGGTAAAAGGCTGAAACGGGCTGTCCAGGGATGCAGTGGAATCTCCATCAGCAGAAACAGTCAAAAGGGATCTGACTGAGAAATTAACCCTGTTCTGAGCAGAAGGTTGGATTAGCTGACCTTCAGAAATCCCTGCTCACCGGAACTGTCCCAGGATTCTCTGATTACCCAGGATTTGCAGTCTGCTTCATAATTATTTAGTGCTGGAGGATAGCATTATACAGGCACTGGAGAGAAAAAGGAAATGCAGTAATTCATGTGAAGTGGTGTGGAAGACTCTAGGCTAAATGTCAGCTGTGAGAGTCTTTCAGGGACTGAAAGTAGCTGTTCCTAAACCCAGTGTGTTTACAGTATTTCAGGACCTGTAGCACCGGACTCTTCAGTATGTGTCTGTAAAAAATATGGCTTCTGAAGTATTTGTAAACGAAGGATTGTAATTCCACTTTGGAGTCCTGTTGATAAAGTGGCTGAGCCTTACCTTTTTGTTATTTTATAATGGCAGCAGGCCTTCCTGACAGGTTTACAGTCTTATTATATGTACTGGGGAGAGCATTACTTTTATTTGATTGATACTTATTGTGTTCTGTTGTCTGTTTCTTTTAGGACTTGTTGACCTTCCAGAAGAGAACATTGAGGCTGCTTATCAGTCCATTACATTGCCTGAAGAATTTCACGATTTTGAAACACCACTACCTGATTTAAAGTAAATGCTTCCCTAGTTTTAATTCATTATTTTAGTATTTTCAGAAGCAAAAGATATCCTTGCTATTATCTGACCAAGACTCATATGAAATTAGTTTTATTTGATAACTGAATTCTCCTAAATTCCAAGTCAGCTTTACAAGGCTACATACAGTCACAGGAGTTGTGCTTTTGTAGAGTTCCTCGAAGTCTGTTTAATCAACAGACCTTTACAATGAAATAACTTAGACTTCAGGATTTTCTAATTTTAAATGGTCTGAACAAAGCCCACAAACAACTTGCTGACCTCAGGAGAAGATACAGAAGTATAAATCCTGTTGTAAGAGCGTTGAAGCTCTGGCTGGGAACCTCGCAACGTTGTACTGTTCCATTGTGTAACTGCGTTTAATTTCTGCTCCATTGCTCTTTGCGGCCTGGGTGTTTTATCAGCAGGAGTCAGCTTGGCTCCCGATGAAAAGCCAGCACATTTTTCTGGCTTTTCTGACGAGAGTCAGCATTAATGTAGAAAAACTGATAAAAAGCAGGAGGCCAAGGCATGTTTCTGATGGCTCCGATGCCTCCAAAGGTCCCGGATAACAGACTGCCACTGCGGCTTTCTCTGTACCTCGTCATAAATATGGTTGGATGGGGTCTGTAAGTATCTAATATTTTGTAAGCACAGCTGTAATCTGATACTATTTATTCAAGTACCTCAGTGTGCTAAGTCTGAAAAGCGTGCCTTTTCTGCCCACCCAAAGAGCGCGTGTGGTTGGATTTATAGATGATGGCGTTACACTAATTAGATGCCTTCCATGTGACAAGTGTCTGGTAGATGGCTGGGCTTGGATGTGAACAAACTCACAGAAGCCCAAGTTTACTGGCAAAAGAAAGTAGAGAATGATGAAATATGGAGAGGAGGATGGGTGCGTCCCACATCCTTAATGAATGTGTCTGCTGTTTCTTGAGGGGCTTGCTTTCTGAGTATACATCTAGATCCTTTGCTCCTGGAGTTCCAGGTGCAGGCAGTATTTCAAAGCCGAGTTAGCTAAATGCTTTCCCCTCCCCCTGGGCCCCTCCCCAGCTATGGGGCTGTTCTGGCTCCTCCACATTCAGTCTTCCCCGTACACCTTACACTGGAGATTGCGCAGGACCTTCAGCTAGCGAAGGCGGCAGCTGCCTGCTTGCTTAGAGGTATCCATTTTAATAAACATATAGCGCCAGTTTTCCCTATGCTTATTTTTAGCTTTTAGAGGAAATTCAAAACAGAGAATTTTATCAATAAAACCTTAAATGGCTTGAATGCTAATAGCTTTGGGAAGCAGCAGTTCTTTCACCACAGAAGTGAGGATCAGCTGGGGTAGTTTGAATGCCAGAGGAAACAGAAGCTATCTTTTGGGGTTCTGTGATAAAACATCAAGATTGAAGACTGTTTAGAAACAAATTTTCACATTCCAGCTAAATGGTCAGTGGGTTTCAGTTCACCCTATATTTTGTATAATGTTTTTTTCATCAGTGCCATTGACGTTGCTGAACATTTTACCTTGAATCAGAGCAGCGCTGAAGACATCACACTTACAGAGGATTACGAAAGCGATATACTTCTCTGTGATAGAAACTTTGGTGAGAGAAGTTGAGAAATTAGATATGTTCCATAAGGAAAAGTGTGTTTTATGCAACATTTTGTACAGTCTGAGTCCTTTCCACATGTAAAAAAGCTACTATTAAAGGTGCATTTGCTTCCTGCTTGTGCTGGTCGGCCTGTCACACTGTCTTACATGTAAATTTTTGTGTAAGTACTCTGCCTAAGTAATATGATATTGGAGACTGAGAATCAAACCCAACGTTTTCTGCTTTTTACTCAATTAGCTTAAAGTGTTTATTGTCTATTCAATTTGAGGTACGGGATATCTTAAAATCTTTTAAAAACGATTTAAAAAATTAGGAAACGGATAAATATGTGTTTCAAAGATTCATACAGATGAAGAATCAGACATTCTGTGTTTATTCAGATGAAGAGCCAGATGCAGTAAGAAAACAGAGCTTCTTTGACAGCAGCATCTTAACGAGCAGTAACAGTCTGGTGGCTGATTGTAACTCTGCGAGCGTGAACGGCGACAAGTCGGCACTGTGTGAAGATGCTTACTGTTTCCAGCACGACTGTTTTGGAGACGAGGAGGAAGCTGTGGATATGATTGGTAGAGTTTGCCACAGATAAACAGAATTAGTTTCTTTCCAAATATTTTTATTCTTACAGGAAAACAAACAAGACAGCATGACAGTGATTGTTTTCAAACATAATTTCTGTATATCCTGTTGTTTTCGTACTTCCTTTTTTTCTACTTGTCACTAAATCTATGATCACTTAGACATTGCCGAGTAAAATTGTATTAAAGAATATAGTTCGGGTTTTTAGAATTAAAGGCATTCAATTTATACTTAATGTTTACCAACTTAATTGAACTTTTCAAAGGTGAAGGCATTTTTGTCCTTATTGTTGTAGTAACAAAGGCAGCAAAGTAGCTTCTACATCTTTATGGTTTAGAGTATTTACATAAACGTTTATAGTTTTATACCTTTTAAACAATATCAATATCATACATTTCAAAGAAAGGTGGAAATGTCAAAATTAAGACTAACGTTCTCCTTTCTGTGCTGTTGAAGACAGCTGTACCACTGACAGCCATCTGTGGAAGCTGAGCTTTTTAGTTTGCAGATAATTAACCTGAAATAAGCAACATTAGGCTGCATCAGGCTATTTCATGACTGCTAAGGCATAGAATGATTAAAACCCTGCATTTTGTATTGAAGAAATCCTGCTGAGGGATGAGCAAAATGGCCTAGATAAAGACATGCCTGATATGGAGGAAGAACGTCCTTTGTCACAAGACCCGCCAGAGAACAGCATGGCCAGTGAGTCTGCAGTGTCCGTTCCACCTCACTCACACGAACGCTCTGTTCCTGCGTTAAGGCCCAAAGTTACATTCAGCTTTGTATGATAGCCCGTGCCTTTTTCCTTTGTTCATTTATTTTGTTTTTTTTTTCTGATACGCTTCATCCGCCATTTCAGGTACCATTTCATTTGACCTAGGGATTCCAGGTTTGTAACTCGACGTTGCTTAGACACACTTTTCTGTGCTCTCCTGTTGGGTACGCTGTTGATCCACCCCGCTGCGTAGACAGCATGATACCGCTTTTGTAGAGGAAAGGAACCAGACTAGGGGTGTGCTGTAACTTTGAATTTTACCTATGAGTATTTCTAGCTTCATACTTCAGCGACAAATGACACTTTAGTAGTTCATTAAGGTGTTGTTAGTCTTCTTTTGATTTGATGTCGATGAAATTAATTTTTGAAAAGTGTTTCTGGCATTTTTTTCATATCTTAATCCATTATACTCCCATGGCACTGTTCCTTTAAAATTGAATAAGCTGAAGCAGATTTAAAAGGAAACAGCAGCACTTGCCCCTCCTTGAGCTAGGCCTGGTACGACCTGTTCCTCCTGTGTTGGCAGCGGTGGCCACGCTGCCATGCGGTTGCCTGGAGCTGGACACGGACACGTATTGAAACGAAACACTTTTTCCCCTACACAGTGTTGGTCAGGTGGGCGTTGCTCCAGGCCAGTTCTTCAGTCTGGTCCGCCACCCCGTCACAGCGGTGTCAGCAGAGGGAAGCAGGCAGTGCACAGCATGAGCAGCACGGTGCCAGTTGTTACTGGTTAAAGGGGTTGTGAGATTATAGCCAAAATCGTACTTCTCTAATTCTGACCTGTTTTCTCTGGTATCATTCTATGTCACGAGATCGAGACATTGTTCCATCCTGTAAACTTTCTTTTTAATTTGGCTGATTTGCTGGGTTTTCTTCTAGTTGAGTCTAAATGCGCAGACACCACCATGAAGAAAGTCAGTTATCTGGCACATGAAACGGTGCTTTTCTCGAAAGAAGAAGAAGGATTTGTGCTTGAGCCAGTTGATGACACAGGTCAGAACCTCACCAGTTTCTTGCTGACTGTTTGTGTTACTAGGTTTGTTTTGCTTCTTGTTAGTGAAAATATTTCCAAAACGGGTTATTGTCACTTCAGATTTCAGCCGCTCCTGCTGTCAGAGTTCTATTTTATGGTAACTGTTACACAAAACCAGCATCAGGTTATTCATCTCTTCTGCCCAAATCTCTGCTCACAGTTTATTTCACCTGCCAGATCAAGTTCCGTTTCTCTGTGGTTCTGCTAGCAGTGCAAGCCCGGCCTGTTCTTGAGGGTTACTGAAGTTTCAGCTGCAGAACTTTTATTGCTGGTGACACATCGGTGAAATAACAAGCTTAAAAATTTCAGGCCTTTGTAAAAGTTTGTTTTGTGAACTTTTAACTTTAATAAGATCCAAAAAGAAAAAGATTTCATTTCTTCTGTGAGTAAATCTAAATGTCACCTATCACGTTGGCGGCTGTTAGCAAATAAACAAGCTCATATTGACACTCATATTTTGAATACTGGAAATGTTCAGCCTGCCAAAATAATATTGAGGAAGTCGTGGCTATAGAACCAATCCGTGCCTTTCTTTTGTGTTTACTACCTACAGCTTAATTAAATTGCTAAAGGATTAAACTGCCAAATACAGATAGTAATTATGAAGTAATGAGACCTGTTGAGTACATCAGCAGTTCTTGGAACAATTAACTTCCTGACAGATTAAAGATAGGTTATTCAGTCCTGTTGGTATATCATGTGTTCCCATTAAGTCCTCATGTTCCTGGTTCTTTAGTACAATAGTCATATGTCTTCCGTAATTAAACAGATGTGAATTTCCTGTACGAGAACACAAAGAGTCCACTTTATGAAAACATTTGGAGAAATGGCCCCTGCACCTGTACTTGGATTTTCAAGTCTGTGTGATGTTTCAGGAGGTCAGCAGCCGGTCCGTTTGATTCAGTGCTGCTTTTTGGGCTGAAGTGTTCTGTGAATAGACTTCATCAGACATTTTTTTTAATACTTGCTCTATTTAGCTGTCACCCAGAGGAAAAAAAATAAAAGAAAGAGGAAGCTGCTTGTGGATGTAGACAAGGAACTCAGCTGCAATGCTATATACAAGCAGCTTAACAACTGCGTGGACATCCTTGCTGCACTAGACCTCGCACCCCCAACCAAAAAAACAATGATGTGGAAGAAATGGGGAGGCGTGGATAAACTCCTGACCCACGCTGCACAGCCCGTGGTTCATGCTGAGCTGCAAATGGTAAAGATCGATTCCTTGTAGGTTTTTATGCCGCTGTGTAGATGATGGGACTGTTGCACGTCTGAGAGCTAACTGTGAGGGATTTTGCAGACTTGGTTTTATGTGAACTCCTAGCAAACAGCAGGTGCGTAGCATCACTGAAGGTATTGTTCTGCAGTGCAGTTCAGTTGGACACCTGATGATTATTTGCATACTCACCACTAATTGCTTCATCAGAAAGACCATGTGTAGAGCTTCACGGCTTTAATCTCCAGCACTCCAACAACAAGCAGAAAATGACAGAGAAGCTGGAGAGCTGGTGCCTCATTTCACATACTGGCACCTGACTGACCGTGCACTACTACACAACTTTTTAGGTTTCTGTCGATTTCTTTTCTACTTTCTACTTTGGTTTATTATTTTCTGTTTTGCTTCTGCTCTGTAATCAATACAAGACCACATCTTCCTTCTACATTTACTTTAAAGGTACATCAGGCTTCAAGCATATTATTATTATAATATTGTTAATGGCTTTGGAAAGATGGGGTGCCAGTTTGTTTTGTACTTTCCCAACTCGAGGTTAAGCTTCCAGCTGGAGAGCAGTCCAGGACCTGCATTTCAGAAGGCCAAGAGGCCACTCTACCAGTTTAGCTAGGAGGGTGGGCCAGACGCTTTCCTGTGCCTGTGGACCTCACTGCTCTCTCTGCACAAGAAAGACGTACTTGTTTCGTGGAAGTAGGATCAAAGCCTCTTGCATCCCCATGTAGCATCTGGCAGATTATTCAAAGAAGCTGTAAGTTTAGGGCTGGTGATAAGATAAAGAAGAGATCAACGTGTGTACAAGGTGGTACGGAAAGAGACGGTGTGAACTCTGTGCAGCAGCCTTCCGTTCATTGCCCTGGGTTTCTTCTGCTGCGTAGCTTGGAGAGAGCGGGGAGGCAGGGTCTGCAGGCAAACAGCTCCGGGCCTGCACTACAGCAGCACAGCTTCACCACTTAGAGTCCAGGTGCAGAATTGCAGCTTGTGCTTTATGAGGAGGAAAAATACTCAGACACCACTACATGGGGAGAGAAATCCACGCGCAGAGACCTGCAGGTGTTTCTTTCTTTCATCCTGCCTTACTGGCTGGCTTCAAGGAAAAATGATCCAAGCTGTTCCTAAGGTGTTTCTTAGAATCATAGAATCATAGAATGGTTTGGGTTGGAAGGGACCTTAAAGCTCATCTTGTTCCACCCCCCCTGACATGAGCAGGGACATCTTCCACCAGCCCAGGTTGCTCAGAGCTCCATCCAACCTGGCCTTGAGCACTGCCAGGGAGGGGGCAGCTACAGCTTCTCTGGGCAGCCTGGGCCAGGGCCTCACCACCCTCGTGGTGAAGAATTTCTTCCTAATATCTCATCTAAATCTGCCCTCTGTTAGTTTGGAGCCGTTCCCCCTTGTCCTATCACTACACACCCTTGTGAAAAGTCCCTCCTCTTCATGGAGTTCACTGCCACAGCTGAAGCTGCAGAAGGTTATTACTTTAAAAAGAAAAAATTGTACATTTTCAGAACGACCGAATTCAAATATCTAAATTCTAGGTTGCAGTAATTAACATACAACTCATTGTCGTACCTTTGGGTTGATATCTGCAAATAACGCGACATGATATGCAGAAAGCAAACAAATAAAAATAATTGTTTTCAGTTGTTTGCAAAATGCTTCAAGATGAGAAGAAATGGAATCCAGAAGGTGTCTGAAAAGGAAGAAACGAGAAAAGAGCAAGCTACCACAGGTAATATTTGAATTCTATTGTTGCAGAATTAGCTGTTTGAAAATATTTTCTATTTTACATAGTGTTTGAGAGACACGTGCACAGTATTTGTGTGCAGTGTTCTACCAAACAAAGGCCAGAAAAGTTCAATGTTAAGGAAATAGCTGTTACTAAAAAGAAAAGTGGTTTTATGTTTTTGGAAGTACTTTACTGTTCTTTGTTCTTTTGATGAGAAATGAAATGCAAGTCTTTTTTCTTCCTTGTGGCATAAGGAGGTATTTTTGTTTTCACCTTTGGTTTCTCTAGTTGTCTACCAAACTGCAGATTATTTCGTTTTGTTTTGTTATTTTTTAAAAAAGCTTCCCACTTATTCTGAGTTTCATCAAACTGCTCTCCACATTTCCAAATTCATGTAAATAACGTCTATTTGTATCTTGAAGATAGCGTTTTGGTTAATATCAAGCAAGACAAAATGTTCCATTTTGGATCTTCTGAGAAGGTGGTGTATCTGCTCTCACTTCTTTCTCTGCTGGAAATGTAATCTGTATGTCTGCCTCGGCAGTCAATCAACAAAACCACCCCTGCAAGTCCATAAAGGTCAACCTTTAGAAAAGGAAGAACTCTCTCGGAAGGTTCTTCTTCTTCCGTGGTCCTATTGGGGATGATATTTATTCTGTATTTACTCGTTCTGGCTCTTACTCTCAAAGACTGCTAACTAGGGTGTGATTTTTGTTTTCAATGTTTTTTTTAAGGACACCGATTCACCATAATTTCCTCTTCAACCTTGTTTTTTCATTAATACAGAGATGCTGGCAGTAGAAGAGCCAAGTTACCTGCAGGAGTCAGCTCATTTGGAGACTGAGAGAAAAATTAGAGATGATTCGTTTATGTTGACATCACAGAATAACAGAAACGAAACTGATGATAACTGTGGTGAAACTATAGTGAGCAGTTTCCAAAAATTTGAGAGACCTAAATGTATTTATTGGTTTCATGTAATGCTAGGGTTCCGTTTAAAACATGTTAAGAAATGACTAATAAATGTTTGAAAAGTATGCTAGAGACAGCTGATAGAGCATTAAGTAGCTTGCGTCATGAAAGTTTATTTATAGGCACTTTGGAAGATTCTTACCATGAATTGAACTATTAATTAAAATGTCTATTAATCAGTATAGATTGCAGTCCAATCACTAGGTGTAAATGGAAATTTAATATGAAATATAGGCTCTTTGTACTGAAGAGATAATCATCTTTATAAAGGGTAAAAATTATCTTTTGTGTCTCAAACTGAGGAAATACTCAAGCAAAGACAAATTATTTCTGCCATCTTTATTTAGGCTAACGTGAAGTGGCCCTCTTTAGATATGAGGCTCATTAAAGTTGAAAAAGAATGACAAAATTGGACCGAACAGCAGCAGAAAATGTAGGGTCTGTGCCTGAACTGAGCCTGTAGGTGTAGATCCAGCTGCAGGGTGAATACTACAGCAAGGTCCTTTCCTGTGTGAGAAAAGACGTGGTAGAAATAGCAACTACGAAATAATTCTTGGGAATATTTATTATAATACATTCTTCGAGTAGAATTGTGTAATTGAGAATTGTGCTGTATGCATAAACTGTAATGCCTGCTGATCGTCCTTTCTGCTCCGACAGCAGGATGGAAGGGCGTTCTCCGAGAGCTCCTCGCTGGCGAACAACTCGCTGGGCCAAGAAGCTGAAACACAGCAAGCGGAGTTAACAAATGTATGTGACCTCGAAGCTGAATTTTAGTGTATTAACATCATCTTTAATACACATTTTTCCAGTCAAAACCTTTATAGTTCAATAGTCAGGGATCCATGTTCTCCAACATTCGAAGTTTACAGTCTGGGAGGGAGACAGCTCTTGGTTTAGAGATGGGGCTTCCCATAAGAAGGAAACGGTTTCTGAACTTCCTGGCTGTGAGGGGACTCAGACACCCTGCAGCAAGGGCAGCCTTCTCCTGGCGCCTGCAGAGGTTAAGCCCCAAATCTAAAGACAAATTTTTGGACATCCTTTTTGGCCCCTGACCAGTACAAGTACTGCCAGAATCTCCGTCATGCAGAACAGTATCTTGTTGCGAAGCTGCCTCCCCGAGGCTCGCTGGGACCACTTCCACAGCACTGAAGGTGGTGTTGCACCTGATCTGCCTCTTTGTAGCAGGAAGAACGCAGTTCACAACCTTTTCTCTGCTTCCAAAAGCCCAGTACGGCTGCTGAGGTGTCCGAGGTCCCAGGCATCCCCAGCATGGCCATCGAAATGCCCGGCTCCGGCTGGATTTTCCGTTAGGCTAGAACTCTCGTCCTTTTTATCATCCTGGTGTGTGACGTTTTACACCTGCTGTCTAACCTTCTGTTCTATTTCCCCTAAGGAGTTAACAAGGAACGGGAAAGACGGCGAAGAAATAAGGTGGAGCAATAGAACTCTCCAGTTATTGAACACTTTACAGGTACCAGTGCTGGATTTTGTAATTAGGTGGCAAAACTGGGTGTTGATTTCAGTTGGACCGTGTCAGAAAATCTCCTGCTCACGCTGTAGATCATACCGCTGCCTCTCACGCGCAGATATAGCCGTGTTTTATCGGGTGTTTGTGTAGGAAACCAGGGTTCTGACTTCCTGCCATGGTGTCCTCTCCCACAGCTGCTGGAATCGCTAGAATTTTCTGAACGATTGCTTATGCAGTAGAGTTTGCTGTGACGCTGAGCCCTTGCTCCCTTTGTTCGATGAGTGTGCTCTGGTGTATCTGTACAGAACCCGCTTCCTAGCTGTTTGCGGGCTGCCAGCTCTCAGCTGAGCGCTGCAGGGTGCCGCCGTTTGGCTATTCATCTGCTTGAGCTGTTTCTGAGACGAGAGCTGGGGAAACGACCGAGGGTTGTGTTAAAAAGAAAGCTGGCAGCACCTTCTTGAAGAGGTTTTAATGTCCCGGTGCTTTCAAGGTGCTTGAGATTTAGCCCAGAGTGGGGCCTTTGCTTCAGGAAGGCTGCTTCTGCTGTTCTCGCAGAAATCCTTGTAAAACTGGTGAACCATATGATATCATCCACCGTATCGACAGGACCGTAGCAGGAGCCAGCACAGGCTGCCCTGATGCTCTCAGTGCTGGTCACAGAATTACAGAATCACAGAATCCCAGCATGGTCAGGGTTGGCAGGGACCTCTGGGGATTCCCCAGTCCAACCCCCTGCCGAAGCAGGGTCACCCAGAGCAGG